GGCCCAAACTCCTCCTTGTGTGTTGGCCAATTCTATGCAATTCAGTTTTGTAAGTAAAGCTTGAATCTATTAAGATAGTCAATCTGGAAATCTAGATGATATTGTCATTGTTTGAGTTTCAAGGACAAGTTTTGGGATTATGTACACATACACTGAAATATTGTTAGAGTCAATTTGCAGGTCTCTTCTTGAGTTTCTGTCATCTTCTGATCATTGTTCTAGAATAAGGTGCAAGTTGTTGTGTTGGGAAATATTATTTTAAAGTGCGTGGCTTTTGTATAAACATTTGTTAACTGTGAAGCTGTGTTACTGTCTAAAACACCTGATGGTCTCACAAAGAGCTGAGCAGCCAATAGCAAGGCAGGAGCAAGGGTAGGCAGGGCTGGCAGGCAGAGAGGATAAGTAGAAGGAGAACCATGGAAGAGGAGGAGAGCTGTGAGGGAACAAGGAGAGGAGGGTGTCAGGGGCCACCCAGCCACCCAGCCACCCAGCCACCCAGCCAGCCACGGAGTAAAACAGAAAGATATACAGAAGTAAGAAAGACAAAAGCCCAGAGGGAAAAGGTAGACGGGATAGTTTAAGGTAAGAAAAGCTGGCTAGAAACAAGTCAAGCTAAGGCTGGACACACATAACTAAGAATAAGCCTCCATGAGTGAGTTATTTGAGAGCTGGGTGAAAGGCCCCCTAAAAAGGCCAAAACAGCCAAAGAGTAAAAGACATTAAAAACAACACTGAAGTTCATGGCCTTCCCAGGAAGCATTCATTGTGCCTTGATTTCCTTTCTCTCTCCTCTTGTATTTCCTCCTACCGTGCAGATATTTAACTTACATTTCTTTAGTATATGTTTTCTTTCCATCCGTCTTAGTTACTGTTCTTTTGTTGTGAAGATGCACCATGACCAAGCCAATGCCTAAAAGAAAAACATTTAACTGGGGCTTGCTGACAGCTTCAGAGGGTTAGTCCGAGATCATGACGGTGGGGAGTGTGGTGGCGGGGAGTGTGGTGGCGGGCAGGCAGACATGGTGTTTTGGAGCAGTAATTGATAACTTACATCCTGAACACAGGCAGGAGGCCGAGAGTAGGGGTGGAGGGGGTGGGCCTTTGAAACCTCAAAGCCGACCCCTAGTGACACACTTCTTCCAACAAGGCCACACCTCCCAATCGTTCCAAAGCAGTCCACTAACTTTTGATCAAGCATTCACATATATGAGTCTCTGGAGGCCATTCTCATTTAAACCACATCGTTCTTCCACTAACATTTCTTTTCTTTTTTATTTGGTGTTTCAAGACAGGGTTTCTCTGTGTAGACCAGGGTTTCCTGTCCTGGAACTCGCTCTCTAGACCTGGCTGGCCTAGAACTCAGAGATCCGTCTGCCTCTGCCTCCTGAGTGCTGGGGTTAAAGGTGTGTGCCACCAACCACCCAGCCCCACTAACATTTCTTAATAGGCCTTGGGTTAGTTATGAAGTATACAGTTAGGATGTTTTACGTTTTTTAAATTCTAAATACCCTCACCTTGAAAAGAGAACCTAGTCCTTTTATATAAATTATAATTGTTGACATTTAAACATTTGTTTCCATTAACTTGTATGTGTGCACATGCATGCGTATTGTATGTATGCTTTGCTTTCCCAGCCATTCTTCGTTTCACACATTTCTTCCCCTTTCCATCCTTCAGCCTCTTCCATTTCGCCCTCTGCTAGATTAGAATTCATACATTCTATATTAAATGTGACTGATCTCACATAACTAGCAATGGTAGATCAGAACTCCCCAAACTGTAAAAGGGTTCTAGGAAGCTAGCTCTGACCTCTGCCACCTTTATGCTCTGGTTGCCCAGGATTTTGCTGGTGTTTGGACTCTGGCATGCTTTTTCTCCCAGACTTTCAGCTAAAAACCTGAAGCCCTCTGCTGCTGTTCACATCTGTCCTTTTCAAGCCTCTTGCAGCTTCTGCATGCATCTTGAGCTACACTTTTTTCTTTCTTTCCACCATACTTATCTGCCATTGCTGGAGGATTCCACTCCCCCCACCCCGCCCAGTTTCTTTTCAACCCCCAGAGTCCATGTGTCCCAATTTATCATATTTTAAAGTAAATCCAATATTCATTTATAAAATGAAATCTGCTTCTTTACTAAATAAACCTCATATACCCAGTCGACCATATTAACTATGTATCCTGAACTTCTAGAAGAAATCCCTTATCTGCTATCCGGAGTCAGAATCCTTGGGGTCAGAACTATCACACTGCTTCTGCCAGTCATCCTGTGTTCATCAATTATTTCAAGAGGCTCTTCTCAGAGCATCTCATATGAAGGCAGTTCTCCTGGACCCCTTTGGATGGCGGCCTCCTTTAAGGAATGCCTTATGTTCTGCTTGACTCGTCTAGGGGGAGATTAAAGCAGAACTAGCTTTGAAGGCAAGGGTAGAATTCTACCACCTGGTGGCAGTGTTGGTTGCTTTTACATTTCCATGGTGACTGGGAATGTTGTTAACTTGTTTAGCTCCTGATCAGCAAACACACGTCCTCTAGAGATTCCCAGCTGAGGTCCTCAGCGTTGGGCGGTGCTTAATCACTTACTGGGATTGCCCAGAAAAACAGCAGGCATTTCCTGGCTCGTCCAGGCCTGTGGTCTGCCTTCAAGTCATACCCATACTGTAAACCTTCCTACTTGGGTTTTGGCTAAAAGGAGGGGATGTCCAAAAGTCCTGAGGCTGTAGCCAGATGTGGCGATGGCAGTTCCAGCTTCCTTTACTACTTGGAGGCAAGACATTGACCTGATAGCTCAGATCTGTCAAAATTCCATTCTGTGGGTCACTTCCTTCCCCTTTGTGGTCTCTTGTCACAGATGAGCCTAGGAACTGTGACACTTGCTGCAAAAACAATCTTCAAGAAGAGTCTACTTGACAGTTGAACTGTACACTTGGGGGCAGACAATGGGGGTGGGGCTCAGTGAGTATTAAGACTCAGGGAAAATGGCTGGGTCCAGGCTGCTGGGTAAGCATATCCCCAGAACAAAACTGTGAAGGTCTTGAGTGGGAATAGGCACAGGGGCACAGGATTTGGGGAGACATTTAAGTCCTCAGAAAGGAGAATGACTTTCTAAGATTGATGCGGGACCTCAGGAGGCAGAGGCAGGAGGATCTCTGTGAGTTCGAGGCCAGCCTGGTCTACAAAGGGAGTTCCAGGACAGTCAGGCTGTTATACAGAGAAACCCTGTCTCAGACAACAAAAACCAAACCAAAACAAAAAAGATTGATGTGAGATGATAGTAAGCTAATGAGTTCCCACGCACAGGTGTAGCTCATTGGAAGAGCATGTGCTAGCATATGTAATGACCTGGGTTCCACCCCAGCACTGACAGAGTCAGCATGTTTTGGTGTTGTCCAGCTTTGGTGAGCATGTGGCTGGCACTGGGGCTGATCCACCATGAAGTGCCTCCCTCATGCAGTCCTCCCAGCGCACATGGAACAGAAGTGCATGAAGATGGGATTCAGGGCCCCAGAGAGGCAGCAATCACTCCATCACTTTCCCTGAAGTTGGTTCTGCTTTTCACCTCCTGCTCTTGATGGTCAACTCTCTTGTCCTGTGTGTATCTGTGTGTTGCTGGGCTAACTCTGTAGAGTGTAGACAGCTTTTACACATCCACAGTGTTTGCTGCACAGTGAGACTCTGGGCCTGCTGTAGTTTAGTAGGGACCATCAGGTCTCCACTGCCATAGGGCCGGAACATTTATATAGTGTGACCTGAGACCTTGGTGTCATCACTGAGTCTGTGAGAAACCAAAAGCTCCTAGAATTCTGGCTTCTGACTAACTCCTTCCCTTGACACTGCTCCATGCTCTGTCATGGAGTCCTTGCTTCAGTTTTGCACTGTGTCCCTGTGCTCTGAAGGTGCATTATGACTTCATCTAGTGCAGGGCCTTTGCCTGGTGGATGCCCCTCAGCTGGGTGCTGTGTGCAGGAGGTCCCCGTAGACATCCTATGAGTGTCAACTGAAACTAGTGTGGGATGGGGCATGGGGATGAACAAGATGGAAGGCATGCAGGAAAGAGGAGGTGGGAACCTTAGAGATTCTTTGGAAACCACTGACTTGACATTTGGTGACTCCATGCTAGGCCTTAATAATAGAGGAGGGTCACAAAGAATCCAGGCATGTGTTTTACCACTGAGCTTTATCCTTCGCCCTGGACCTGTTTCTTATGCAAACCTCATAGGAGGCATTCTTTTGGACTGGCACAGTAGATAAGGTAAAATCCCAAAGAGCTGGAAGTATGGCTTTGTCTATAAAGTATTTGCTTTGCAGGCACAAAGACATGTGCCTGGTTCCTAGAATCCACATAAAAATGCCAAGCATGGTGGTGTGTGCTTGTTCTGTCAGGGAGGGGGAGATAGAGACAGGAGAATTCCTTGCTTGCTGGCCAGTCAGTCTAGCCTAATCCATAAGCCCCAGGCCAATGAAGGACCCTGTCTCACAGGAGAGGGATGATGCCCCTGAAGATGATGGGAGAAGTTATCCTCTGGGCATCCACATGCAGACTTGCACATACAAGCATTACTCTCACCTAACCATGCACACCCACAACCCTACACACAAATAGTTTAATGGAGTTACTCATGCTAAAGTTCATGTCACAAAGATGAAACTAGGTTGCTAATCTGATCTTCAGAGGAAACAGAGAAGCAAACAACCATGTGTCCCGCCCCAGGCTATTCTTAGTGGGGCTGGTGGAGAAGTTTTTATCCACATTCTTCCATGCACAGAACAGGAAGCTGAAGGGGCTAGGGGTGAGCCACCATCATTTACCTATTGTTCTCTATTCCTGTCCCTACTTTACAAGAAAAGTGATTTTGAAATGACAATCTGCCCTTTGAATTTTGTCTCTGTTTTCTCCAGCTCTGCTCTGTCTAAACAACCTACTTTCTCTGCCTGGCCCATCGGAAAACCTGGCGCATTTCATGGAAAGAGAGATCAAGAATTGGAATAAAGCTGGTCTAGATCTTTAAATTGTTGTGACTTTGCTCTTTAATACCCAAGTGTGTTGGAATTCTCTGCCTCTCTTTTATAAGGTGGAATGGGAGCCAGGGAAGCAAAGGCAAAGGAATGACAGATGAACACACCCCTGGACATTACCCAGTGAGCTCTGGAGGCCTAGAGTTACCAGTGACACCCCCACCTACTTCCTGGCCTTGGGCACTTGCTACTGCCAGGCAGAAGGAGAACAGGTGCATCTAACTTCAGGCTTTGAAGGTTCAGGAAAAACCTCCTGGAAGCACTGCTGCTGAGAAGCGCGACAAGCACCAGGCTCCCTTCCTGCGGTCTGTGACCTCCACCCTGTAGCTTCCAGCCCTGGATTCTGCTGACTTCAAAGCCAGACTCCAGAAGGGAAAAAGTGTGGCCAACACTAGCAGATGACCCATGTACTTAGAACTGAGAGCTGCAGGAAAGAAACTTGAGAACACAGGGCTGGGTAAGGCTAACCCTTCTTCTGGTTCCAGAGGGACAGCCTTGGCCTTAGGCTGTCTTCTGGAGGAAGGGCCCCATGTGGCCTCTTAGCTGGGCAGTAGAAAGTGCAGTTTTACCCCCATCTGGCTGATTCTGCTTCATGTGCATATCCAATCCAAAGAGGAAACAGGAACTGTGTGGTGGTTCTTTATTTGGAAATAGAGTCAGAGACCAGATTGTAGCTCAGTGTCACAGTGCATGGTAACTTTACAGAAGACCTTGGGTTTAATCCCTGGTGAAAAACAAGAAAGACAGAGAGAGGTCATACTTTTATCAGTTGTCATAATACATTTCTTAGTAAGCAAAGATAATAGAGGGTACACTATCCCTGGGACCCATGGCGACTAATGACAGTAAAGCTGTCTGTATTGTCTCATTCATTGTTCAACAAATATCTATTGACTATGTAATATGTGCCAGGAAGATTCTAGGTGCTGGAGACACAGTCCCAAACACAGAAATCGCCCCTCCCCCTGCCCCGTAGATCTCTTGCTTCCAAAAAGAGAGAGAGAAACATAAAAAACTTATATACATGTGCTATAGAGAACAGTGAAGTCAGAGGGGTGTAGGCGTGAGTGCTGGGGTGATGAATCCATTAATGTGACAGAAAAGACCTGTAGATAAAGGGAGTTTGAAGAGTCTGAAGGAGGGGGAGGGAGGTAGTCTACATGGATTTCTAGGACAAAGTGACCCTGGCGGGACAAATAGTGTGTGGGAAAGGCCTGAGGCAGGAGTGTGTCTGCTGCTGGGGGGGGGGGGGACAGGAGCCCAGTGTGGCTGCAGCCTGAGAAAATGAGGGTAGAGAAAGCGGTAGCATGAATAAATAGAAGGACCCAGAGACTGCTATTGGGGTTCAAGCTTCAGGCTGAAGGACAGAAAAGCAAAGCAGCTGGGCACTAACTTCTTACCTCTGAATGGACTGTCTCCACAGGCTCTCACCAAGCCTCCGACTATAACCTTTCTGCAGTGTGGCTGGAGAATGAATGCCTCTCTGAGGCCTTGCTTCTGTCTTACATACTTCCCGAATGTTGGGATTAAAGGTGTGAGCTATAATTCTCTTTTAGACTGATTCACTCTTGTGTAGATCTGGGTGGCCTTGGACTCACAGAGATCCATCTAGCTCTTAATCCTGAATCCTAGAATTAAATTCTGGCTACGGGGATTAAAGGTGTATGACTGACTTCTAAGGCTTGTGGCTGATTTTGCTTTTCTGAATCCTCAGTCAAGCTTTAGTAAATCATAAATAAGATACCACTATAGAAAACATCCTGGAGGAGGCAAGCCTGGATCAGGTGGACCCCTTCCCTTTCCTCTTCCTCTTCTCTTTTCCTCTTGGAGACAAGGTCTTGCTATATTGTCCATCTGGCAAGAGATCCTCCTGCCTCAGATTCCCAAGTAGTTGGAACTACAAGCATAAACCACTGTACCTGGCTAACAGGACATTTTCCATACTGGGCTATGCATGTATATCTTCTGGGAATGTGATACCATGAAGGATGTAAATCATGAAGCCTGTGATGGGGCCTAGCATTCTGCATGTCTCAGACTTCCTGGAAGAGGACCATGATGTTGTGAGTTGGGGAAGGAATGAAGTAGAGAGACCTGGCTTGTTCTGAATGCAGAAAGACCTCATCTGACCTTTGCTTTCTTTTTCTGTCCTACTTTTTCTTTGCTTTCTTCCCCTCCCTCCATGCTGGGGATGGAACCCAGGGCCTTGCACACGCTAGGCAGTAAGTAGCTCTACCACTGAGCCACAGCTGCAGATACCTCTAGCCCTTAAACTTTGTTTTAAAGAAACTGCATTGGCTGATTAGGCCAGAGAGGGAAGGAGTGAACACAATTAGAAATCCATTGAATGATAGTGAAAAAAAAATCATTGAGTATGGTTCAGACTGGTGGTGGGGGTGAGGAAGGGTGAGGGATATTATTCTGAAGGTGATCCCTGGAGGCCTTGCTGATAAGTTGTTACTGCCATGTAAGAGAGAGTAGTCTAGGGTGACAAGGATATAAGTCGCTTTAACAATGAGAAGATATATTCTCCTTCTCTGATCTGGAAGGTGAGGGTTTGAGAAAGAGTCTTCAGGATGTGATATGTTCAAGAAATTGCTTAGACATTTTAACAGGGACTGGGGATGCACCCAGTTGGTAGATCAATTGCCGAATATGCTTGAAGCCCTAGGTTTGGTTCCCAACACCCCAGAAACAAAGTATGGGGACATATACCTGTGATATTCAAGAAGTGCAGGTAGAGAGGAGGATTAGAAGTTCAAGGTCATTCAAGTCTGAGGCTGGCCCTGCCTCAAAACACCAAAACCAAAGCCTAACATTTGAATATGGGTTGAAATCGGAGGAAAGGCTCTGACTACAGGCTCCAGCTTGAAAATCAGAGGATGAGAGCTAACTCTTGCCTCCAGGGCACCTGGAGGGAAAAGTGGACAGTTGAGAACAGATACTCCAGCACTTTGAAGGCAAGGAGGGAAAATGCAGCCAGTGTAGGGATGAGCTGTAGAAACTGGTAAAAAGGAGGGCTTCACATTTTAGGAGTGGTTCTTGTGTCAGTTAGCTATGAGTGAGTAAGAAAGTTAAGGCTGTTTGAGACTCCTTCCAGCCTTGCAACCACCAGGAAGATCTTTTGTGCTGAGGGTGAGGCCCTCAGACCTGGTATAGAGCAGCCAAGGTGGATGCACCTCTGTCCAGAGCTGGTCCTGGCCATAGGCTAGTGCAAATCCATCCTCGCTGTGAGTTCATTGCCTCTGAAGACAGGACCAACTGCCTCACAGCATGGCAGCTGGGAAACAAACAAGCAAACAAACAAACAAAAAAACAGTACCCCAGGCTGAAGAGAACTCAGGATCTAGCCAAAGACTGTCAAAGCATCACTTCTGCCAGGTCCTTTGGAGTAAAGTTAGGAGGTCAACCCAGAAGTAAGGGGAGGAAACCTGGGTCCTCATCTTTTTAGAGGGTTAGATGTATGCAGGATAGAACTCATGTTGGGCAGATCCACTCAGCCTCCTTGTCTTGATGGAACAGGAAAACTCCAAATACACACTAGAAGAGGAAGTGTTGGGCGCCTCTCAGACCACCTGACCGAGTCTGATCTTTCTCTTATAATTTCATATGTCCAATTAAAAAGGTGATTTGGTGGTGTAGTTGGGGTGCTGGATGCTACCTTCCTCTTCCACTAGTCAGTCATGTGCTACTTTGTAAGTCTCTTTCATTAGTTTGGACTGCTTCCCTATTTTTCCAGCACTATATAACCTTTTGTTCTACTGCGTTTTGTTTTTGGCACTAGCCAAGTTTTGGTTTTGTTTTGTTTCTGAAGGCGGAGTCTTGCAATGCTGTCCAGGCTACAAACTCACGGTCTCCAGGGAGAGATTTCTGCCTCAGCTTCCTGAATAGCTGGGACCCCAGGGGTACTCCATTGTGCCTAACTTACCTAACTTTTAAAATAATGACAAGTGCTTGGCTGAGGGTAGACAGGGCATGTGCCTGAATTAGCTTTTGGCACTGCCTTCTGGCCCTCCCTCCTCAGCAGCTCACCCACAGTATCCCCTCCGAGGGAATGACCTATCTGCAGCTCTCACAGCCAAACAGGAAGGACTCTTTGCCAGCCCGAAGAACTCAACAAACCAGTTCTTGAAAATCCCCCACCCCTAGTGTTTATTTTTATTATGTATTCACTTCTTAGTTGGTTCTTTGAGAAAATCAACAAGATAGACAACCCTTATCCAAACTAACTAAAAGGCAGAGCGAGAGAATATCCACACTAACAAAATCAGAAACGAAAAGAAGGCCATAACAACAGACACTGAGGAAATCCAGAAAATCGTTAGTTCATACTTCAAAGACCTGTACTCCACAAAATTGGAAATTCTAAAAGAAATGGATACATTTCTTGACAGATACCACTTCTTAAGTAGTTGGTAGAGACACATTTCTTCCTATTCTTGATTCTTCAATAACAAAACCTGCATCTCCATGTCTGAGCTGATGATGCATAGTGTCAACCAGGCCAGATGTGCTGTGGACATTGATTTTATTCTTTACCGTAGCTTCCACCACCTCAAATCAACGAAGGTTCCCAGGGCAAGAAGCCGTACTTGCCAGGACAGGGGTCGGCAGCTGGGTAACATGCATAACTTTCACCAGATTCTGGCCTTCATAGAACCGTCTTCTCAGTTTGAAGGCCCCCAGGCTTGTTCATTAGCCTTTTAGTCCACCGGGTGTCAGTTATGTGTGAGTGGTAAGGTGGAGGAAAGATTTGACTTCAGTCTCTGGAATGCTGAACCGATTGACGGTTCATCCCCACCATCTGTGCTCTTCGCTCTCACGATACCTTAGTCGCTTTCCCAATCCAATCCTTCCTATCTCGGAGCGCTGCCCGCGACCCTGGTCGAGAGCCTGGGCAGCCCACATACTTGCGGCTGCTGTCGCGAGCAGGGAAAGTTGTCTGGTTTGCAAAAAGCGATTGCAGAAACCCAGGAACTTGAAGCCAAAAGCGCGGGCTGTCCTGACACTAGACGCACAACAACTCCGCCCCCACCCCCATCCCCACCCCCCACCGACACACTGCGCGCACCCCTCTCCAGGCAGGGAGAAGAGGTGGGGCCGGGGCAGGCTCAAGGCTCAAGGAAGCTGCTTCACTGAAGCAGGGAGTAGTGGGTGGTGGCCGCGGGGGCGGAGCCGGGGCGGGGCGGTGGAGACTCTTAGGGGCGCCCAGGCTCCCGCACCGGCTTGGGGCGTCGAGCGAGATGGCGGCGCGCAGCCTGGGCAGCGGTGTGGGGCGACTGCTGCGTGGTCTGCACCGGCGCTCCGGACAATCGGGGTGGTTGCTGAGCGTGTCGCGATCGACCGCCACTCGGTTCCTAGGCAGCGTTTCCCTCGCAGCGCAGCCAGGCTCATACCCTGCGTTGAGCGCTCAAGCGGCCCAGGAGCCAGCCGCCTTCTGGGGGCCGCTGGCCCGTGACACACTAGTTTGGGACACCCCCTACCACACTGTCTGGGACTGCGACTTTAGGACGGGCAAGATCGGCTGGTTCCTGGGAGGCCAGTTGAATGTGTCTGGTGAGTGGGTTGCTGGGGACCAGCCCCGTCCCGCCGAGACTCGGGGGGGACCCCCTGTCAGTGGCAGCTGTGCCCAGGCCTTGACCCCTTTCCCCAGTATACTTCACCACTCACTCTAATTCTTGTGCCACGTCGCCGTGACCTGCATCCCACCCGGTCCAGAGACTGCAGCTAGCGGAGCACCAACTACGCGCCCAAACGTGCAGCGCTGGCTCAAGCTGAAAACTAAGGGTAGCCCGTTTGAGGTCAGAATGGCCTATCCTAGCGCAGATTCTGGGGGAACTTTCTTCAGACTTTAATCTCAGGGATCCCTAGAACGGTGGGCACACAGATGATGACCCCAGATAGGCCTAGATCTCCAAGAACCCAGACTTCTCTGCCCAGGGGCCCTCAGGCCAGCGGGATAAGCGCAGTGTGTAGGTTGTTACCATCCGCTACGGTGCTAGCCTTAGCAGCTACAGTGGACAAGCCCTGCAGTGTAAACAGAGCCCTGGTGGGTGCAGGAAGAACGCGCCAGCGGCTGGGAGGGAACTGGTTATCTCCTCCCTCAGGGGCGTGTGGGCAGGAAGTTCTGGGTCTCAGAACTGCACCCCAAAGACAAACGTCTACAGTGACAAAGGCAGGCAACCCCAGCACTTTGGAGGCTGAGTTAGGAGGAGCTGAGCTGAGCTCAAGGCCAGCTTGGGCTATGTTGCCTCCTCCTCGTTCTCCAAAAGAGACACATAAATCGCTAGCTGTCTGTTTTCCAATGAGCCTGAATTCCGTGCTGCTAAGGTTGGAAGCACTGAGAAGTCCAGGAGGGGCTGGACTGACAGACTGAGCCGCTGGGGTTCAGGAACTTCTGCCTTCCAGTGAGGTGGGAGTGGGGGTTGGGTGGGTCAGAGATGCATAAGAAAAGAACTGAAGGTCACCCTGGCAAGGTGATGCTTTGTTCAAAGACCACAAGTTAGGGGTTCAATCTTTTATTTGCCGCATCCACTTGCATTAACTTGGGTGCATCTGAACTTCCCCATTTGTAGTTAGGGAAGTAATACTTACCTGCTAAGCAGGCAGTGCTGGGAGATACAGAACCTTGTCCAGACTTATTGGTAATCAATAAGCCATTATCAATTTTGAATTACTATACTCAGAAACTATAGGTGGTGTCTGTTTTTTTTACTCAAGCACACCTCAAAGAAACTTTGGACCAGTCATTTTCCCCCCATTTTGTATATTACTTGGCAAGTTTAATCTAAATGAGTCTCTTATTAGATAAGTGTTGCCTCTAGATTGGAGTCAGCAAAATCTTGAAGTTCCTGGGGTTGTAGAATTGATGGAATGTGCCTTTGAAGTGAGTGAAGCAGTTTGCTGAAGGAAGAGGTCAGAAAGTGTGTGGCTTCTTTGGAAACGGTCCTGGGCTTAAGAGGCCAAAGCCACGGGGACACCCAAGCTTATAGCTGATAAGGAATGGTATCGACCTTATGGTGAGGCTTGGGTGTGGTCTTCAAGGAATTCTTTGGCCTCTGTTCTTCCACCTTTAGAGCTGTGTGAGCCAGAGGCTGAACGTCAGCAAACTGACCTGTAGGAAAAGCAACTTCTCCGAATGTCTGTCTGTCTATCTATCTATCTATCTATCTATCTATCTATCTATCTATCTATCTGCAGCATCTCTGTCCTTTCCCAGTGTCTGCAAACCCCAGAGGTCATAGTGTGAAAAGGCACCAGACTGCAGCTGTCCTGGGAGCCACCTAGAAAGTTGTGAAGTGGTTGAACTGTTTGTCTTGTGTGGCAATGCCAGCTTGTTTCAAACAGTGTGAGTGACACTATTGTCCTTTCAAGGATCTCCAGACTAATGCTTCTCAAAGCGTGGTCTTGGACCAGCAACCTTCTCGGGGAGCTTTTAGATATGCAAATTCTGGGGCCCACTCTAGACCCTTAGGTTTAGAAACCTGGTGGCTGGGCATCTTCCAGCTGCAGGTGCTTGGTACATGATAGTTTGGTGGTTTCGGCTGTGCCTTTTGAGCTACACTGAGGTCCCAGTTCTTGCTGTGCTGCGCTTCCCATGTTCCCTTATGCGTGAACTAAAGATAGGAGTGTGTCCTGGAATGCTCTTGTAGTTACCACTGTTACAAACTTTCAATTAGCAGTGCTGCAGGATACAAGACCATTTTATTACCCTCTGAGGTCCTAGGTCAGGACTCTGGACAGGGCCCACCCTGCTGTCTCAAGCCAGAGCCATCTGCCAGTTTCTCACTTCCCAGTTTTGGGGCCTGAACTGGTGCTGCACTTAGAATATGGTTCATCCCTGAACTCCCCAGTAAAGTTCCTTTGTCGGGTATTATTAGGGAGGTAACTAGGATTAGGAGAGGTTTTCAGGGAAGAGGCATAAGGTTCAGATTGTGGTGTTTTATAAAAGGGAGAGGCCAGAAGAGATAACTGATGTCTCTGCATCATCTTAGGACTCCTGGCGGGAGGGGGAGATGGAGGGAGTCACCAGATGCAGGCCTTTGGACTATGATATAAATAATTGTTTTCCTTTGTAAAGGTAGTCATCCTCTGTTATTTCATCACAGTTCCGGAGAATGGATTTCATACGGTTTCCATAAGTGAAATTTCAGACTGGGCTTACTTGAAACTTGTTCCCCAAACCACATGAGGATTTTCCCTGTGTACTGGCTAGGTTCATGGAAAGTTTTGTGTCCAGAGGGTCAAGAGAATCGTGCAGAGATTAAGGCTTCTTCTGAGCAGCCTGCTTGAGGCGGGGAGGGCTCTTGTTTGCATTTGCTCCCTATCAGATGCGGTTCTCAGCACACACAGCTGGGGCTCTTGTTCAGATTAGGTGAGACGAGGCTTGTAAAGCTCTTGACACTGTCATTAGGACACTGCAGCCCTAATCACCCACTGCTGTTAAAGGTTAATGAGGCATGTGGCAGAAACAGTGGCCTTGCGTTTATCCCCCAGGAATGCTGCTGAGTACTGTGCCCACCTGAAATGGACCCTGTATGTTTGAGCCCCAGAGCCTGGGCTGGGTGGCAAGTAAGACATTGGAGAATGTGCAGGGGGTGCCTGGTCTTCTCAAGGAACCACGCAGTGTGTCCACTCCAAGCTCTGACACTGAGCTGTGATGATGGAAGCTCCTTGGCCCTTCCTTCTTTGACTTGCCTCTAATGCCTTATGAAAAATACTTCCACACTGTAAAAAGGAATCCTTTCTGGCCTTGGTCATTTGGCTCCATTCTCTGTAGGGCTCCACAATTACTTTTTCTCTGTGTATATATACACCCAGGATGCCAGGAAACTGCAAATCTAAAACCAGGGGGTCATGGGGTATATGTTGCTTTCACCACACATATCTTAGTCCTATTTTCTAAATCCCAGACCTTGAGTCTGATGTATTTCAATGTGTTCATTCTTACTCTAGCAAGAGCATATCTATGAGTTTTTTGGAGACACGGTCTCATGTGTAGACCAAAGTGGCCTGGAATTCACAGAGATCCACCTGTTTCTCTGCCTCCTAAGCACTGAAATAAAGGTATATTACCACCATGCCTGGCTTATATGAGCTCTTTTTAACTAACCATTGAATACTTAGACTTCCTGGGTGCTTTTTCTCCTCTTCCTCCTCCTCCTCCTCCCCCTCCTCCTTCTTCTATGCTGGGAATGGAGCACAGGGTCTCAGACAGGCTAGGCCGGTGCTGTGCCACGGAGTGCTACCCGCAGCCCTCTTGATGCTTTAAGAACACTGAACAAATAGAAGTCATTTTGCTGATGCTCTTTCCTAGATGGCAGTGACTCAGAGATTAGGCTGATCCTGAGATGATGCGATGGTAGACAAAGCTTGTCTACATTTTTAAAGAAACTCCAAATGAAAATGTAGTTCCAATCTCATGAGGTGGAGTTTCTGGAAGGATCTGAATTCTTCTCACTTGTCAGAAGCATGACCTGCTTTAAATAGCAGTTGCTTCTGGAAAGTTGGCAAATACAACTTTCGGAATGAAAGTTCTCCAAATGTGCCAGGGAAATTCGCTATTTAAAGAAAGCCACTGTCAGTCCTCAGTATGGCTGCTAACCCCAGTTTCTTTTTATGACGATTGAAGCTTTGTGTTCTGAGTTCACTTAAATTTGAGTTGGGTATGAGGGGAATATATTTAAACAACCAATCAGAGCTTTTGGATTAGGGGTGTGGCTTAGTAGTTGAGCACTTGCTTAGCATGTAGGAAAACCTGTATTCCATTCCTAGTCCTGTAGGATTAGGGGTGGGAGTTTGAAAATTCCTACATTATTGTGTGTCATCTTTCTAAAGGAGATAATAACTCTCCTGTAACTTATTGTGTTGTTAATAAAACTAAAAATCTCTCATTCATTCACAAGCACTAATTGCTCATAGACTGTGTAAGGATCTGGGCTGGGCCATGTGCTACAGTGACTGAGATGGAGCCCATGGCTGAACAGGCGTCCTTATCTCAAGGGCCATATCCCATTCTTAATAATGCAAACATGGAACGGTTAGCGTCCTGTTATAAATGGAGACACCAAGGCCCCACCTCAGAAACAGTGGGAAATAACCGTGGTCAGAACACCTGAACTGAAACAAACAGATTGCAAATCCATGGTTGCAAGGTGGAATTACATTGATGTGGTTTAACATTCTTAGTTGGACAACACTTAGTCTCATAATATATATCAAATATTGAGAGCTTGCTTTCATAGACAGAGAAGGGCTGAGAAAAGCACAATAGAGATCAGGAAATGGGTCAGCTCTTTCAGCCAGTTCCCTTAAAAGACAGGGACAGGGGCATAGGACAATATGAAAATAGCGAACAGCTCCCCAGCCTCTGTAGTCTCTGCACCTTTGCACAAGCATATAGGTGGGGGGGGACTTCACCACCAGACACACTGAAAAGTTTCCACTTTTGCACAAGCATATAGGTGGGGGGGACTTCACCACCAGACACACTGAAAAGTTTCCACTTTTGCACAAGCATATAGGTGGGGGGGGACTTCATCATCAGACACACTGAAAAGTTTCCACTTTTGCACAAGCATATAGGTGGGGGGGACTTCACCACCAGGCACACTGAAAAGTTTCCACTTTTGCACAAGCATATAGGTGGGGGGGGACTTCACCACCAGGCACACTGAAAAGTTTGGCTCCAGTTTTTGTGTCTCCCATCTTGATTTCTCCACAGGCCTGATAAGCAGTCATGTTTCAGCTTGGTGATGTGAACTTCAGCTTGAACAACTTCATTTTGATTTTTAGTCTGGTTTGTGCTAGAGCTTGCACCCAAACAATGGTCTCCTTTAATTTTTATTTAACACAGTAAACAGGTTAGTCTGTACTGGCGTGATGTACTCAAGATTTCCACGGGGTTGGGGAAGAACTGTGGCCCTCAACCAGTCCCCATGAGAAAGGAACCTTATGGCCCTTGTGACCCAGATGGTGGGGGAAGGAGCATCATAAGCAGAATAAGGAAGTGCTACATGGTATGGGCCACTGAGAAGTGGGAGGACAGAGGCTCACTGTGTGCTGGGGACTTGGAAGGCTCAAAGTAGGAGGTGGGGTTTGAGCTCCGCCTTCAGTTGTGCTGGGCCCTGGCTCGGTTCTTACTGTAAATGCTTGAAGGTGGAATTTTCTTGTCCTACTGCCCAGTTTTTTGGATTGCTACTTTTTTTTTAAATGTAGAGATTTTGTATACACAGGAGAGTATCCCCCATGCCTTCCTTCATTCTTCTAGCCCCCTCCTTTTCCTAAGCTCCCCTTTCCCTTTCCCTCTTTCCTCCCTTCTCTTCTCTCCTCCTTCCTTTCCTCTCCCCCATTTTTCTCTCTGCTTCTCTCCTATCCTCTGCCCCATCCCTCCTTTCTGTTCTTCCCTGTGACTGAGGTAGCAGAAGGAGTCATAAGTATATGCTAAGTGCCATCATGACCGTGGCATTTTAGAGCCATGCTTCTGTTAGGCCTCGTGCGGTGGTGGCTCTAAGGAATGAATGGGATTATTCTATTGGCATGCTCCTTGGGAACACTATGACATCTTCAGACCCACTCTTATGACACATTAGGGGGCAGCTAATTCTTAGGCTCAGCCAGAGTCAGGGGTTGCTATACCACTCTGTTGACTAAAAAGCTGAGACTTGATGTAGATGACAAGGACATTGTCCTCAGTTAGTGGGTGGCTGGCCAAGGGCCAGACATAAGGATTTTTCAGGCAGCTCCAGTCTGCCAGCTGGTAAGGCATGGCCAGGTGTTGCACAGGGCTAGTAAGGATATTTATTTACCCCACCCCCACACCCAAAGAGGAAGAAAGAGAAACAGGATCCCCATGGAATCTGAAAGCTGCATACATAGTGGTGTACATGTAAACACACCGGCGTCTATCCGCCAGTGTGTGGTTCCAAGACAGGCTGTAGCAGGACTGTTTGCTTAAAATGCCCAGGCTCTGCTAAAGGTTGGTATGCTTCTCTTTGGGGCGTTTGATACCACTCAAGGGTGAGAAGCATGGGGTTCATAGGCAGGGGCATGTGCAGTGAGAGAAATATAGGCCAAGATCGGTAGCATTACAGGAGGGAGTGACAGTGTCAGGCAGGGAAAACCAGTGCAAAGACCCTGGAGCCAAGGGAGCTCTTAGGACTCAGCTTGTCCAGCAGGGAGAGGAACGTCTTTGGTGGCCTTGGTAATCAGTGATCTAGCATCTTGTCTGTGTGGGAGGCCTCTGGGAAACACTGGATTTGGGAATCTATTCTGAGCTGCCTAGATTTGTGCCATCTGTCAGCCCCAGGAGAGATACATGGGAACACCCAAGTATACAACCTGTTCCGGGCCTCCTTCGTCTCGTCTCAGCCTGCTTTCCTTCCTGGCATTGAACGGGAGGGACACCTTGTTGAGCTTTGCAATGCTGAGGGTCTTAGTTCAGAGTCAGTCACCCTCTGAGGAAGAAGGATGCCCTGTACTCACACATCTGTGGCTTCTCAGCGCAGCTAGGTGGGTGAAGGACTTCAATTTATCACTAGCTTCTAGGTGTCCAGAGCAGCCCAGACTTCCTGCTCTTAACCAGTCCTGTCCTGATTTTCCTTCAGGACTTTCTGTAGCATTGATTCTCAGGTGACCCTTCCCAACTTGTCAAGACCAGCTCAGAGTCACCTCCATGGCCAGGCAGCTGGGGACATGGCCCTGTATCGAAGGGTGACCTCTTTGCTGACTGCTTAGAAGCCATAAAACTATGACCTTAGGATGAAAACTCTTGGTATTTGGGCATCTGTGTACACACAGAGGCAGACATACACACACCTACAGTCACTCACTCACACACACACACACACACACACACACACACACAGGAGAGAGAGAGAGAGAGAGAGAGAGAGAGAGAGAGAGAGAGAGAGAGAGAGAGAGAGAGAGGGAAGGAGGGAGGGAGGGAGAGAAAGAGGGAGGGAGGAAGAGAGAGAGAGGGAGAGGGAGAGAGGGAGGGAGAGGAGGAGGGAGGGAGAAAGAGAGGGAGAGGGAGAGAGGGAGAGAACCACACTGCTAAGCTAGACAGCCCTGGGAGCACATTCAGCTGACATCTGTGAAGCTTTTTCCTCCCTAAGAGCCTTGTTTTTCCACTCATGGTAGGAGCCATCTATTCTCACCTGCCTGCTGCTCCACTGTTCTCCACAGCTCTTAGTTTCATCTGTCTGTGGAATCACACCTTTTCATATCTCCCCTCCGCTTTGCCACAGGTTGGGCTCAGCTTTTTTCCATTTACTGCACAGAACAGTTTCTTGGTGGCCTGTTTGAACCTTTACAGGGACACAGTGGAGGGCGGTGTGAGGGACGCTGGAGCTAGCCTGAGTCAAATCCAGATCTGTTACTTTGTGACCTTGGGCGGGCTGTTCAGTCTCATACAGTTCACATTGGTGATGAGAAATGCTGGCTGTGGGCCCTCAAGAGCACTGTCTACAGCCAGGCTCCAGCTGTTACTGTTGCTGTCCCGAATTGCTCTTAGCTTCTGTGAGCATGTTTGTCTTGTCCCTGTAACTTCAGCTCCAGTGTTCTGTTGGAAAAAGTTATGTGACATCTGCCACAGTCCACCTCAGAAGATTGGAGGACCCTGGTGGGAACATGGTTGGGAAGATGGGGTCACCACATGAACCAGTCCCGGGGTTAAGCTCACCTTTAAAATCAAATAATCAGTGAACAGGGTGTTAGCAGAACTGAGCCCACTAATCCTCAGGTTTTCGTAAACCAGCCCACTGACCTTGTGTTGTTTTTTCCAGTGAGTCATGTGAGCTGAGCTTGGGTAACAGAGTGGGAGGGGAGCTCCAGGACTTTCTTGAAAGGCATGTCCAGTTCAGTGCCTATTACACAGAGAGTCTTGGGTGGTGATGCCACATGCAGCCAGTGTGGTGACTGTTGGAATGCTGTGATGACCTCAGAGTCTGTGGGGAAGGTCACCTCACAGAACAGATCCTGTTTGTATAGTGATTGTGTATGTTTTTTGCAGTTGTGGCAAACACCCTTTCTGCAGGAGGAGATCCTGCTCTGTAGGAATAGCAAACCACAGCAGATCAAATCCCACTTCACCCTCCTCCAAAGCATCCAGAATAACACCTGTTAACTTTTCTTTACATAGTCAACTGCCTGGATCAGCATGTGCAGAAGTCCCCTGAGGCCGTAGCTTTGATTTGGGAGAGAGATGAACCTGGGACTGAAGTGAGGATCACTTACAGGTACTGTGTGTCACTTGGGACTCTCAACACCCAAGGGGGAACCTGAACCTTTCTACAGTTTGGTTTTGGGAAAGTGCATGATCCCTGCTGCAACCATTAACACAAAGTCTGGAAGGACTCTGGCTCTGTGTTTGCTTGGTTATACTGGGTGTCTGAAGATTCTGTCGTGATGTTAAGGACTGGGGAGGCATTAGCCCAATTCTGCTGCTGTGTCTGGCTCAGGACATGGAATTGTCTGAACATCAGGAGATGTTTCAGCTTTGGGGGATGCTCTGGAATCCCAGGCAAAGGAGATGTGGACAAGGCAGTCTGTGGCAGGTATCAGAGCACACAGAACATCTGTCCAACAGTACCCTGGGCTGAAGTTACCCAGATGAGACAAGGCAAACTCATCCAGGGGAGCTATGAGCTACCAGATGTGGACAGCACCCTTGGAGCACTCACTACCAGCATCCCTTATCACTCATGTGAACCGCACAGAGATTAAGTGGCCTGCCCAAGGTCACATAGTAGCAGATCTTGAGTTGACCCATTTAACTCCAGGATCTCCTCCACCCTTTTGCCTTCCGTTGTTATTTTGTAATGGTCTAAACCAGAAGCAAAGAACTACTCAGTCATCAATGCCAGCTACTGACCTTTCTATACACCTTATGATGGGGGTGGTGGGTGGGTGATAATTAACACAAGCTTTAGAAATTCTTTTTAAAGACTGATAATGTTATTTGGTTTCATAAGTGGAAACTAGTACTGAGGAGCACCGGTATCAATGTTTTAGATGAAGTAGGAGACATTCAGGGAAGTATGGCCACAGACGGATGGCGGTTTAGATGGATGGGCACAGACGACTGATGGAGGCTTAGATGGGTCCTTGGATAACTGGCTATCCGAAGCTGCTGTCTCTGGGTTGTCTTGCTCACAGATGCTGTGGTACAGCAGGGAGGATATTGCCTCGTCATTGATGTCTCCTTAGCTGAGGATCCATGTAACTCAATGAGAGCATGCTTTCCCAGTAGATATGGGACCTCAGATTCTATCCCTAGCATTGAAAAACTATCCTTTTGGTTAAAGACACAAATTATCTTTACAATGATGACTCTGGGTCACCATGTGTTCTGTATCTTCTCCTCATCAGGTCTTCTGAGTATGATTATTCTCCTCCAGGTAAGCGTCAGGCTTTCCAAAGCCAGTCAGTCATCCAGCAAGTACTTGTTTCATGCCTTTATGTCAGTTACTACTGGTTAGAGTATGTTGCAATAACAACCAAAGCATGGTAGAATATTTAGGCTGAATACTGAGGGAAGGTCTCTCTGAGGTTATTTAAGCTGAGATTCAATTGATGATGGAGAATACCGTGTCCTGGGGGCAGGGAGGTGGTCTGGTAGTTGGGACCTGGCTATGAAAGGGGCATAGAAGAAGTGTTCACAGAAACTGTTTTGGGCCAGGGTTCTGAGCACACCGGTTACTTGTGGATGTTCAGGTAACTTAGGGGCAACTGGACACTCATTTCCCACTTACTTCTGGAACTCTAGTTTTATTCTAGACCAGATTCAATCCTGGCATACAGTGCTTGGGTTGCCTTTTGTAGAAAGCAAGGTGACTTAAAAATAGGTATTTTGTTTACTTTTAAATTATGTAAATATGTGTGTGGGTATGTGCATGAGACTGCAGGTTCCCACAAGTCCAGGTGAGGACATTGGATTCTCCTGGAGCCAGAGGTAGAGGTGGTTGTGGGCCGCTTGACCTGGATATCAGGAACTGGACTTTTCTGCAAAAACAGTACCTGTTCTTAGCCACTGAGCCAACTATCCAGCCTCAAGGCTATGGTTTCAATCTTCTGTAGCCCCTGGTTGTGTCACTGGCCCACCCATCCCTTCATCTACCCATCCCATCAGACCTCAGGCATATTGTAGCCTTCATAGCAAAAGGGCTGTTACATACTTTGACATTCTCTCCCTTGCCGGCCTGAGCTCAGGGCCTGCACTGGTTTCTTTTCTCTGGTACCTGGCTTCAGCCTCCACGTGGCCCACAGACCAACAGAATCTTACTTCCAGGAGCCTGGAATCCATCAGCTTGGATGAGGAGATTCCTGGATGGCTTCTGTACAGGGGACCTTGGGGATTGGCTTGTGTGGATTGGCTGGTTCAGCTGCTTCTTAAGGATTTGGGGTTCACCTCCATGTGCATGTCCACATATTTCCACATAAAAAGAGGCTGAGGCAGTTGCTTGGACACGGTCATGTGTGGCAGGCCGGAAGTGCTAACTAGACAGCGGGGGTCCTGCCCTGATGCTGCCTGAAGGACTGGTGTGTCCTCCTCTCCCTATCCCAGGTATACTCAGAACTGTTGTTGATAGGCAGGTCACTAGGAATGCCCTGTGGCCGGATGCAGCAGTATTTGGCAGTCTGTGAGCTGCTGAAATTTGTGGTTGAAAGTTAAAGGTAAACCACATGGAATGGTCAGGATTGCAGCCAGCTCATTAAAGTCAAGAGATACTTGAGGCTGATGGGAATGAAGCAGCTCCCAGTCAGCCAGAATTTCTGAGTACAAGTGAAGTGTTTACTAGGCAGCCCCTCTATGAACATGCAGAGTTTGTTCAAGGTGCTTTGATTGGTTTCTGATGGCTTAGAACTAGATGACTATGTCTGCTGCTAGGGAAAAATGTTTTACACACTGTAATTGCAGCAAGTGTGTGAAGGCCTCTAGTTAGCCCTTTCCCTGGCCATTTTAGGTGTTTGACTTGCTACTGGTTGTCATGTCAGTAGACAGACAGACAGACAGACACACATATACTTACCATATTCCCTCTGGAATAATGTGATTTCCTTCCAGCTACCCTGTGGGAGGCACTAAAAGCTGCCTCAGGATAGTCACAAGCCCTGCAGACTCAAAGGTCAAGCTCCAGACTCTTAGACTCATTTTTTTTGGTGTTCTTCTGCTAGGGATCAAATTCAGGACATTGGTCATGTCAGGCAAGTGCCCTGGCACTGAGCCAAACTATACCCCTGGCAATTTAAAGAAACTCAGTGTGGCTAGGGATGGTGGTGCACTCTTGTAATCCCAAAACATGGGATAGAAAGCTGGAAGATGACAAATGTGAGGCCAGCCTGGCCTCTGTCTCAACACACACACACACACACACACACACACACACACACACACACACACACACAAAGAAGACACAAGAGTTGCCTCTGCAGCTAAGTGACAGAGCAGTGGGCCCTGAATTTAATATCCGACACTGCAAAGAAAACAAGAGAGAATCCTGGGGGGTTGTAGTTGTTACAGGTGATGGTGACGGTGATATGTTTTTTCTGGTTCCAGGAGGCTTAAAGTGGCTTGGACAGCTGCATATACGCAGGCCCTGGGAGTCTCAGGTGACCTGTAGAATCTCCCTGATTGGCAGCACTGGCCTTTGTCATGTCTTTACCTCTGGCCCTGCTTTGATTCAAAACATCCTCCTGGCTGATGGTCTGGCAAAGCTGTGTGGTCTCCCAGGGCACCACTCTCCTCTCTGTAAAATGGGGTGCTTGGTGCAGAGAAAATGACTTTGCAGGGTTGGCCCAAGGAGGCTGAGCAGAGCATATGCATCGAACTGCAAAAAGCCCAATGATAGCTAGCGATGGCTATGATCAGCTGACCAGTGAGTAGTGTTCAAAAACACCACACCAGAATTACTTTACAGACTATGATTTGATTAGGAAAGAAGAACAGTACTAATTTTCATTATTTTCAACATCTTGTTATGAAGAACTTGAAACAGTGCAGCCATCTACTTACCACCTACATTTTGCAGTTGTTTTGTGGTGTGGTGTCTACCCCTTGTCTGTGTGTCCATCCTGTCCTCTGGGGCATTTCAAAGCAAGCTGTGGATATCAGTACTGTCTACCTTTTCCATCATCACCACCAACCATATTACAAGAAACAAATGAGGGGAGGAGGGGCTTACCTTTGGCTCCCAGTTTGAGGGCATACAGTCTGTCATGCTGATGGAGAAATAGCAGTGGGCTGTTCTGTGGTGGAACATGAGACAGTCACATTGTATGGAAGTCAGGAAGCAGAGAGAGCTCAGGAAGTAGGGCCAGACCATAACCCTTAGGACCTGCTCCCGAGTGACCCACTGACTCCAGCAAGGCTCCACCTTCTAATGTTTCTAAACAGTACTAGTTGCTGGGAAACAAGCGTTCAAACACAGAAGTCCCTGGGGAGATGTCTCAGTCACACAGACCTGTCGAGTGCTCTTCTCCCAAGCTCTCCAACATGCATGCGATCAGCCAGAGGATAGAAAGTAGGAGCTTACTTTTCTCTTTTGATAAGAAATTTACCAGCAATGAACCCATCTGCTAAATTTTGATCAATGCAAATACTGTATAGCCCAAACCTGTATTTTTTTTTTGAGACAGGGTTTCTCTGTAGCTTTGGAGCCTGGCCTGGCACTCGCTCTGTAGAACAGGCTGGCCTCAAATTCACAGAGATCTTCCTGCCTCTGCCTCCTGAGTGCTGGGATTAAATGTGTGAGCCCCCAATTGCCCGGCCCAAACCTGTCTTTTAAGTTACTGTTCTTGCTCCTCGTAGATTACTAGTTCTTCTGTCTGGCTCCCCAAATACCGTTGATTTTTTTCTGATATAGTTTTAATCCAGCCCTACAGATAAGGATGCAGACTCAGGGAGCTGGAGTTTGCTTCTGGGCAAATGCCTGCTGAGGGTGGGGAGCCACGGCTTGGCCCTGCATCAGCAAGTCCAGTGCCATGAACCCGCATCAAGTGCTAAGGGCAAGGTCAGCAGATGATCCTGCAGCTTGGTGGATCCTGGGATGAAGGCGGTCAGAATGAGCCGTGTCAGCATCTGGCCTGGCAGTTAGCTTGTCAGGGATGGACAGTGATGTGTCACCTTCCCCAGGTGCCCAGGGCCTCTCACCACTGGGTCTAATGAGTTCTCTCAACAAGTGTGTTTCTGAGGACTCTCCTTTACCCAGCAATCAGCCCCAAGTGACACCACCGTCCT